TTGGCTAAGGCACTCTGCTGCTGGCCCGCAGGCTGCGGGTTCGAATCCCGGCTGTGGCGGCTGCATTTCCGATGGAGGCGGAAATGGTGTAGGCTCGTGTGCTCAGATTTGGGCGCACGTTAAAGAACCGCACGATGTCGAAATCTCCGGAGCCCTCCACTACGGCGTCTCTCATAATCATATGGTCGCTTTGGAACGTTAAACCCCACATAGCATCGTTTCCAGTGCTGCTACTTTTCAACTTAGGGTCGAGCTCTGTGGCTTCACTGCAACTCCTACCAGAGACCAAGATAACAGGATTGTTAGGCTTTTTATCTTTTACCTCGTTCCTTTTTTCCTTCTGGATCAAAGCCGGTGACCATATAGAGATAGCGGAGTGCAAGCACGATTATTGTGGCTTTTGATGAAGCCCCGCAGCCAGTGGTGCTGCTATATGCCCGCGTTGCAACCCGTCGGTCGTCGTTCCTTTTTCATTCTGTGCCCGGCCACGAGACGGTGTCACTGGTCGCCACCGTGCACAGCATTAGAGCCCAATTTGCGCTCGCTAATAACGCGGCCACCGATGGAGGCCTCCCTAATAACGCTCCCAGCGTAATGGTCTCCCGCCGAACACCCACTTCACCAACGCAGCCCTGCTTTCTATACACGCCCGGTTGGTCCGTCTTTCTTATTTCGATAATCTGTTTTCTAGCCTGTCTTCTCTTTGTGCTTGCTAGCTGGAGCGTCACAGAGATCACGCACACGCACACACGCAGGTATACACACACACAAAAGGGAGTGGGCAGTCGACGCCTACGTGGCAATATAGGATCTACAGCCACGCAGCATCAACGCGCCACGTTGCACTCACCAAACGAATTGCATGCAGCATTGCGACTAGCGCCGATTCAGAATTTAATGCCAGGGTAAACATTAAACCAGTGTCTTCCACTGCTGTTTTTTTTTTCTGAACCATCTTGGCACGCTCGCGATGCTTCCAACTGCGAATCACCATCGTTCACTAATTTGTTAGAACCACGCAAGGCAGCAAGAAGTCGGGGTTTTGTCGAGAAATTGCTGCTGCGAAGACAAAAAGACATTGTTTTGTGCCGATAACCAAGGGGCGTAGACAAAATGGTCGGTTTAGGGCATCCTGCATGCGCGCTAAATTGATGAGCTAGCAGGAACAGGAGTTTCAACATGGCGTTAGTTCCATACCTGTCGCCCTCCTCCTTCTGTTAGTTTCTGTCGTCTTCTTTTCCTTTTTTCTTGATGTCACGTTTTCGCTCTAATCTGCAAGGTCTTTTGCGGTGGGGCTCTTTAACTTCTTTTTACTATCCATTCATTTATCGACTGTCCAGACGCCTCTTCCCATAGCCATTTCGACGCACCGTTCGCCGTGCACAAATGTCTTCTTTTTTTTTTTGCTGCAGCCTATCGTTTGGAAGTCATTAGCGCCCTGATGGTGGGACGACAGAAAGATCGTAGCGCTGGCAGAAATAATAAATAGCAGCAAGCCAGTACGTTCTTGATATCTGGTGAAGTGCGCTTTTGTGTAAGGTTTTAGTTTTAGCCTCCAACTAGTTTCGGTCAGCTCCGTCTTCGTTTTCGTTTGGATTCAATAGCTCGCTTATTAAAGGCACCTTTTCTCGCAATTGTTCTGTACTTTGAATTATAACAAAGCTTGTTACTTGTAAAGCGCGCATCACTGCTCAAAAAAGTGACTATTTAGTAGTTTTAGCTTTAGTAAGATATAAAATGATGAACTAGGTGTGGGAGGCAGGGCTGATAGCTATTGAAAGTAATCGATAACAAACGCGATATCATAATGAGCACTGAAGCAATTAGACTGGTCATACGACTAATATGCTACTCCAGAAAAGCACGGAATAAGACATAAAAAGTTACATAGATTAAGACCTATTGAGAAGGTTAGTTCTTGACATTCACGTACACAAGCGGACTCACGAAAGCTCTGCGAGACCACCGCGCATCACAATAGTCGAAAATGATTTTCGGGCTGCATTAGAGTGCTTTTTCGTTAGGCGATTGCTTATCTAGCTCTCTCGCTCTCTCTCCCCTGTTTGGTGCTTCTTCCTTTTCTTGCCGCTATGAAAACAAACCGTAATAAAGTAAGCAATCAAATGTAAAAAAATAAATGACAGAGCGCAGAAACTGCAATTATTAATTATTCCAGTTCATTGTGGGTGGAGGCCCTGTTCAAAAGGCCTCGCATGGCTACAACGGCTCGCTAACTGGCTCAGGTTTGCTAGTTGCTTCCGAGGGTTCAGCGGTATGCGCCTCCCATGTCGACATGTATTGGATGGGCACAAATGTCCGTACCCAATTGTAGTGAGTCACGTTGTGGCAGGATATGTGCCAAGGAAAGAGGAGGAGTGCAACAATCATTTAGTTACACCTACAGCATCAATTAAATATTGTCACGTAAGAGTGAGGGTAGCCCGAAGACAGGAGACCGGGAGGTTAGTAGAAATAGAAGGAGATCCGTTTATTTGGCGGACTTGCGCCCACTAAAGGAAGAAAAGACACACTGGCTTAGCGGGAGGCGAACAGCGCGTTCGACGGCAGTCGGGTAACAGAAATGAACGCAAGGCGCGTTCGACGGCCGTCGGGTAACAGAAATGTCCCACTGGAACGCAAGGCGCGTTCGCCATCCGAGACACAGTCGCCGTAGCGTCTGGCGCTATCTCGTTACCAACGAATGGTCGACGTGCGGGCCATGATCTTCGCAGATGAGTCGCGGTGCATCCTGGGCCACGATAAGGCCATGTGCCGGCGGTATCGGCATGCACAACACTATCCGCAATACGCCTCGCCTCATTGCTCCCCTCCTCAACGTAAGCATCGACCCGATGCTTTGTTTGAAATAAAACCAAAACAAAAGGACAGCCTGTGCGAAAGTAAATGGCAAATAAGCACGAATCACGCACACATAAACAAAACAAGAGATGCAAACAGGGAGCCTCCTTTAGCGCGCATGATAGGGCTTCAAATGGGCGACGTGTACCACTTCTTGTCGTGTGCGGCGTCGTTGGGATGAGCTAGCCCCATCAGGGACCACTTCATAGTCCACTTCACCCACTTGACGGATGACTTTGTATGGCCCGAAATAATGGCGCATGAGTTTTTCGCTTAATCCTCGGCGGCGAACGGGCGTCCAAACCCAGACTTTGTCACCTGGCCGGTATGTTGAATCGCGTCTCCGCAGGTTGTAGCGTCTTGCGTCGTTTCGCTGTTGGTCTTTTATGCGCAGACGAGCAAGCTGCTGGGCTTCTTCTGCGCGCTGAAGGTAGGCGGCCACGTCTAGGTTGTTTTCATCGGTGACGTGAAGCGTGGGGATGGCGGTGATGGAGAACGGCTGGACAAGTACTCTGTATGGCGTAAGTAGTCTTCGATTGCCGGAGGTTGTTGTCCAGGGCGTGGCCGTGGTGCCTGAGATGAGAAGCCATGCAGTCTCATCCGCCTGTAGGGGCAGTGTCGTTGATAACGAGACACAGTCGCCGTAGCGTCTGGCGCTATCTCGTTATCAACGAATGGTCGACGTGCTGGCCATGATCTTCGCAGATGAGTCGCGGTGCATCCTGGGCCACGATAAGGCCGCGTGCCGGTGGTATCGGCATGCGCAACACTATCCGCAATACGCCTCGCGGCAATATGATTTCTTTCTGATAACTGCTCGTTGCGCATTTAGGATTGTTTATTCAAATTGATATGATGTATGATATGTGGTATATATCATGTCACTACTTGGGATTGGGGTGGAACATCGTTACCTGCAATTACTGATTAGCCTTTCCCACAAGATGTAGTTATTCGGTGTTCTCATGAGTTGCATATGCAGACGTCCATTCACATGTAATTGAGCCAAGAATTCGACACGCTGTAGGTTGAAAAGAGCAGAGATATCAACACTCATGCAGACACTGAGTAGTCAGGGTGTCAATGGAGCATATGTAAACATACTGAAAACATGTAAACATCTACAGTGGATCCACAGCCACTATAGTTCTCCGTAAAGAAAGCTACAGTATTCCAATAAAGAAGGGTGTAGGGTGGGGAGACAGGATCTATTCAATGCTATTCACCGCGTGTTTATAGGAGGTTTTCAGGGCTCTAGATTGGGAACAGTTAGGGTACGAGTTAATGGAAAGTATCTCAGTAACTTGCGATTCGCTGATGACATTGCCATGATGAGTAACTCAGGGGACGAATTACAGCTCATGATTACTGAACTGGACACGTAGTAGGTCTGAAAATTAATATGCACAGAACTAAAGTAGTGTGCAACAGTCTCGGTGGAAAACAGCTTTTAACGATAGGTGGAGAGACGTTGGAATATGTCTACTTAAGACAGGTAGTAACTGTGTACCCGAACCATGAGAGTGAAATGACTAGAAGAATAAGGTTGGGGTGGATCAAATTCAGCAAGCATTCTCAAGTCATGAATGGTAGTCTGCCACTAACCCTCAAGAAGAAGGTATATAACAGCTCCTTATTGCCGGTACTTACCTACGGAGCAGAAAGAAACCTGGAGGCTTACAAATAAGGTTCAGCTTAAATTGAAGACGACGCAACGAGCGATGGGAAGGAAAATGATAGGTGTAACCTTAAGCGACAAGAAAAGGGCAGCGTGGGTCAGGGAACACACCGTGGCTAAGGATATCATAGTTGAAATCAAGGAGAAGAAATGATCATAGGCCGGGCATGTTGCACGTAGACAGGATTACCGCTGTTCATTCAGGCCTCGCATGGCTAGGCCTTAATGACCAGCTGACTGTATTTCCAGAGACGTCAAGCGGGTGAGGGGGAAAGGTAAAGTTAAGGGGACAGATGAGATTAAGAAGATTGCTGGTATAAAGTGGGAGCAGTAAGCACAGGACCAAGTGGACATGTGGTTAATAGGAGAGGTCTTGGCCCTGTAGTGCGCGTAGTCAGGCTGATGATAATGATGATTATGATATTGAAAAAAAAAGGGAAACAGATCGACAACATGTTATTACCTGAACACGAGCGAGTTGTCCCTGCGGACGCCGAGGAAGGGCAGCGCGAACGTGGCCACCCAGGCGTCGGTGACGGCGCAGTCGAAGTACGGCGCCGTCCACAGTCCGTCGCGGGCGGCCACCTGCAGACCGCTGGCGACGTCGAGCACGCTGGTGGCGTAGCGCCGCAGCAGCCACGCCGTGTAGTTGGCGCTGGCGAGGCGGGCGAACCACGCGCACTGGTCCACTGAGTCCGCGTCGTACGAGTAGTTTCGGTGGAAGGCGAGGCCCCCGGAAGGGGACGAGTACGCGAACACGCTCAGCACGGGCGCCTCGCGGCCCCGGGGCACCACCAGCAGGCCACTGCCCAGCACGCCGTCTTCGCTGCGCACGTTCATGCGCGCCAGCGTGTAGTAGAGGTCCTCGCCGTACACCAGCTCGGTGTCGTTCTGCAGCCGCGCCGACAGCGAGGTGAGCAGGTTGGCCGTGCGTACGGCCACCTGTGCCTGGCGCTCCAGGAGCGGTGAGGTGGTGGCGCGCGCGTTTGGCCGCACGCCAAGCGGCGCGAGCGAGACGCGGCTGCACGTTGTCCAGTGCTGTGACTCGTGCACGAGCTGCAGAGCGGCCGACACGTTGCGGCCTCGGCGCACCAGGCTGAGCACGGCGTCGGACCAGCGCGGGTGGTGCGGCGTGGAGGCGCTGGTGGTCGAGGAGGGCTGGACGGCCTGGGGCCAGGCCGCCAGCTGGCCCGCCAGCAGGAGCCAGGCGCAGAGCAGGCGGCGGCGGCCCATGGAGCGCTCCTCAGGGCCCCGACAGCATCGCCCGCCGCGCTGGCCCGCTGCCCTGCGGCAACGAGACAGACGCGTTCGTTCAGGGCTGTGGCTTTTGTAATGCCGCGAAGAAAGACTCTGGTTTTTGTAAAGTTGTTCGAAGGGTGCTAAACCAACGGCCTTGGTTTGCTCATTATGAATCAATGCGAAAATTCTCATGCGGGTTTTTCATTGCACTAATGAGGTCAGTTATGAACAAGAGGCATATGCTTGTGACATCGCAATATGGCTGTAAGATCAATTTTTCTATATTATTACACATTCTCGAAATATCGCGGATCATTCTAGCATCATGTTCGATGCCTTAGAAGCAATGCGGGCGAGGAAACACCCGGTAAAAGTCAAACTAAATGTATATCTTTATATTAACATGTATCTTTTTTGGATATGGTTTGTTTCCATACCATGCGAGATTCTGTCGAACTATTGACCTCGGAAGCAATACCGCTATATGCACGGCAGGCAAGCATGGTTCACTGTTAAGCAGTTCTATATTGTGACAGAGCCTACCCCACAAACGCTAGCAAAATGGAACACATTTAACCCCTTTGGAAGAAAATAGAGCTTGGGTTGAATTTGCCACGAGAGAAAAAAAAAGATGCGAAAAGAGAGAATGATGTATGGAGGAAAATTGTATGGGAAAGTTAAATCACAGCACTAATAAACTTTTCTACCATTCAGCGGGGATGGAAAGCGGGACTAAGAAATAAGGAAATCCAGTAAAAGATTAAAAAGAGCTGGTCAGTACTTTTCATAGCATAGAATGGCGCCTAGTTGCCCATGTTAAGCGTCGTTCATGAAGTCTTTTTGTTCTGAGAAACTGCAAGAGCATATTCGCAAACCTTTCTGCTACGACTGCTTGAAAGGGGCACCTTGTCAAGGCCAATCTTGAGCATTGCCCACATGCCCACTCTTTCAGTTGTTCGACATGGTTTGCTCGGTTAGGTTAAGGGTCATGCTGTAAAAAAGCGGCCTGCACATTATTCTCGTTCTTGTAGCCCTTCACTTGTGATCCATGCCCACTGTGGGGGATCGACCAATAATTGAGTGGTCTTATAAGGTATTATTCGATTTTAGAGTAATGGCTGACAACTGCCCAGCCTGTTTCTTTTTATTCCCTATTCGCACCTAGAAAATGGATTCGAGGCGTGCTATGCAATCTAATAACATTTTATTATTTATCAGTAAAATTGTTTACAGAACTGTTCGAATAATTGCTTGAGAAGATGGCACTTGCACAGCCTCAGTTCGTCGTTACAGCTCGGAAGCATTCAGTGATGATGCAACATTTATTTCTGAAAATAAAAAAGTGAAAATTTGACAACGTGCAGGAATACGACCGTATCGGCTTTGGGTTTGGACTAGCCGTCACTAAGACTCTCATATGTCTAATTCATTCACTCATTCTAAGTTCAAGCGTGAAATGGCCATCGATTATCTCGTGTGACACTGCGCGCGCATTAATAAATAACGCCCAAACTGGCCACCGTGCCTCGAGAAACGTCGATGATCGGCCTTCAACAGAACAAAACATATTGTGAGCGTAGCCTCGCCGCTCATCAGCGTGTGCTTATGCCATGTGATCTCTTCTGTAGTACTACTGTGTGGCATACTAAAGTGTCCACTTCTTAATACTGTGTGCCACACGTGCCGCTGCTGCTGATGATTCCCGGAACAATGGTACAACCCACCACGAGGTATGGTCCACGAGGTGCGCGGCAGTAAAATTTATGAAACAAAAATAAGTAAATAATAAAAAGGAGAAAGGAGAGGAAAAATGGAGGGTGAAAAAAAAAACAGACGCATAGCCGTGTGGTAGAACATCCGCTTGCCATGCGTGAAAATTGTGTAGAATCGTGCTTCCTCTTCCTCTTTCTCCTCCGCTGTCGTTCTTTCGTATAGACTATTCTACGTGAAAAACACGGGGACCACCGCCTTCGAACTGCTACGCGAATGTTGTTTAACAGCGAAACTGCTCTTGGTCGAGCATTTGATGTCTGAGATCCGTGGTAACGCTTTTGGGTATCATAAACGAGCGTGTGCCACATGAAATAGGCAATCCTACTGCACGAAACTTCCACTAAAAAAATAAGAGGGAAACAGCACAACAGCTGGCGTGCACGTTACCATGGTCTCACTGCTGTCACGTGATACACTTTGGTTGGAAAAGGCTATGTGATACTGCGACCTCAAACCTCAACAAAGAGTGTTTGATGAAGAGCAGTGACACAGTAAATCGCAGTGTTCTAAGCGATGGCTTCGTTGTAAACCTGTGTATGATAGAAACATGCTCAAGATGCATCAGAACTATACTTGCGCCTCAAAGAATAGCTAGCAGTGTTTAATAAACAGTAGTCATGCATCATATGTGAAACAGTTTGAAAACACCAAATGCGTTTGCCTCACAAAGGGGATGCCACCAGCGTCGCTATTTCTTTAGTGTCCACGAAGTGGAGCTGACCGATTTCTGTTTTTTTTATATAGAGAAGTGAATCGACAAAGTCATGAAACTTCAAATGCACCAATACATCGTTTTTCATGTGTATGCGTAGTCCATAGGTTAACAGATCAATATGGCAGCACTGAGACAGATCTGTAAAGTTGTCCATGGTGTAGCAAACTATCATTATTGCAAGTAATTCTTTATAATGTCTCTTTTTTGTGCCACCCACCGCTTCAGAAGGCTTCGCCGAAGTCACAGTATGTTGGTTCGTCACTGTTGGAGAACTATAACGCAAGCGCCACACTTTCCACTCCACGTTTCCTTTCGGCGAAACTCTTTCAAAGCATCGCCGGTCTCGCTTTGTGCTTTTTCGTGTAGGCGGGAACACCGTGCAAGTGGTGGCCGCGATAAACAGGGAATGGACGACCTCGTCCACACGTCGTACAAGTCCGTCGTCGCCAGCAGTGACGAAGTGGTTTCGCGCGGACAGCTTCGCCAAGCGTCCGTCTCCAAGGGTGGCGAAAAGGAAGTAGTGGGGAGGAGGGAGGCACGTCTAACGAGTGTCGCAAGACTGATTGCCGAAAACGGCCGCAGCAGCCGTGCCCGGCGCGAAATGGCGGAGAACCGAAAACCGTTCCGACGCTCGCGCTGTGCGAAATAAGGTGCACTAAGCACGAACGACGCGCAAAAGGGCATAAATGTATAAATAAAGAAGACTTACGGGGGCAAGCCATGATAATACGCCGCTATGCTTTTAGGATCCAGGAAAGAAAAATGATTCGTTGCAGGCACAGTTTCTTATAACGTCTCGCAGTCCGAAGACCGCTTCTTTCTTTATTTCTTTTCATCCTCTTCTGTCATTTGCTTTTGCTTCGCCTCTCGTTTATGGGAAATTTAGGTGTCCAATATGGTCCCTCGGACGATGGTTTAATATTCTCACCTCCGTCCTCTGAGGCGTTATAGAAGGGCGCTACATTACGGGCCTTCCTTGATAAAGTTTTCTTAATATGTTGAATGATGTCTTCCTGATAAAATTTTCTTAATATGTTAAATGATGTCTTCTGTGCTTCTTTAGTGTATTTCAGTCAGAGTAAGGTTAAGAAGTTTCTGAACAAAAAAAATACCTAATATGTTCATTATTGTAGTAATAACGCTTCTCTCCTATTCTCAGCTTGCAGTACGTATACATTGTTTTGCTGCCTATAACGAAGCAAAACGGACCATAGCGTAACTGAAGCGCGCTTTCTGGCATATTCTCAAAGTATTTCGTTAACGATTGAGGTACCAGTTTCACAGAAATTATCCGACCATCAACGCCGCTGGTGTCGCCGTTGTCATGCTGTCCTCCTATATCAAAGGCACATGCACGGATCGCGTGTGGAATCTTCGTCTCCTGAAGGACATGTAGTTTATTTGGTTGCGAAAACGAACTACCCATGCTCTATCAAATGTTTTTCTTGGGTATCACACTGTTCAGGCCAGTAAATCTGTTGTTCGCTTTCGATTTCGAGCCATAATAATGGCTCGCATTGTCTTTACGAGGCCTCTGTTCCTGCTTCGCAACCAAGCCGTGGCACATTATTAAGGTACCGTGCGGTATGGTATGACACCATGCGAGAAGCTGAAGAGCCTAACGCGGCTATTCATCTTCTATTGCAATAGAGTTGAACTTTCAGCGTTTATTAGGCAGTACTGAGTGGATCGCTGCATGGGTGCACTTGCATGATTTGGTGGGAATCAGTCAGACAACACTCCGTGTTGTTTTATTCATAGCTTTATTCTTCTGTCTTTGGGTTGAGTTCGCACTGCAAGTAAGTGTCCTAATGATCTACTAACAAGGCCACTTTGCGACTCTGGTTGACTCCAATTGTAATGTTCAGTTTAAGAAAAATGCGCAAGGCCAGTCACCTTCTCGAGTGGAAGGAGTGTGATTTAGACTACCTCTTGAGTGAGCAGTGTCACAGACTGCGTCAAATGACAAAGGGCACAAGGAAAAGTTCCTCCGCGTCAAAGTTGTTACAGAAAAGAGTAGACTGATATTTTATGTGCGACGTAGATTATTCCGAAATGAGCATTCATGCACGTCGTCCTCGAGGTCACTACGACAGAAGTTTCCGTTATTAGCATTCGACGGCTTTTTTCAATTCTCCGAGTGTAGAAATCGGGCGGGCGCGATGCCAGTCGTTCTTTCCTGCGCGAAGAGGTAATAATGTTGCACATTGAACTCGTTTGCTGGTACGGTTGCAAACAGAATACAGTCCAGCCCAGGTTATTCGCCGCTACTGACTTAGCTTCGACTAGGCTTCACCAGCGTCTAATATGAAGCGCCTTTTATTTTTCACCGTCCGCAGAGCGAAACCATTTTGCACTCTCCATCCAATGGTGTCGGGTGAACTCTACTGGTGCACGGAGCAGTTTGCCACTCCAAGTTGACCTCCGGCTAGAGCCACATCCAATAATGTGATTTTTTTTTGAGTGAAACTGCTTTCGCATTCAGAATTCAGCACTTTGTCCTTCGAATGAAGCTCCCGTGTTGTCGAAGTTTACTCATTCATTCGTGAGCCGCAAGC